CAACAATGACCATCAAAGCAAAATTTAGGGTGAAAAGCTATAGCATTAGTTTAGTCTTCTATCAGCTCATTTTCAAATAAATGCGTCCTTCGAAGTATGTTCTCCATATCTTGGATGTTAATACCCATTAGTGCCTACATCTCACTTTCATCTGATAAAAAAGGATACAGTTTCCAAGCTTGTCATATAATTTGAGAACAAATTAAAAAGTGATCATAATTGAAAAAAAGAAGCTCGTTTGCGAGTCTCCTATGTTACCGCATCATTGATAAAAACGAGATATAGAGGCACAACAGGACGAGTAGGGGAATAACCTACATTTTGGTTACCATGGTATGTAAGCTACCATCTCATAAATTGAAATCACCACATGTGACTTAAGGTTAACCGCTGAAGATAGTAACGGGAAATTAAGTAAACGTCTGCTGAAAGCGATAGTAAAGATGAAGTGTAGCCAGGATTCGAGCTCACTCTGGTAACATAAATGTGACTATATTTCAGAATGGAATTTTTTCGTTTGAAAGTTGATAAAATCATTCAAAATCCTAAAACACTTAGATTGACGCAGAAAATATTTACAGCCGTCAAAGCACCACCACCCTAATTCTTTTTATTCCTAAAACAATCCTAATGGTTACAGCACTCAACATTGATTACATAAGTTCCAGTTTCAAACACTCCCCTGCCTCTGGCTTGAGCAGCCATTTAGTGTTACTATCCTCACACAAATAGTGTAGCTAAAAACCAAGTTTGTAAACATGCTAAGTTACGAATAGTTCGTCCTGTGCACATTAGTTAAGGTATGTCATCATGTAAGTAAAATACCACATATGTATATTGTTTTTCGACTCTAGTGCTTTTGTTTTTGTTTATTTATTGATGCAAAGGGATTTACTGTTTTCTATTTTCAAGGTATACTTGATCTCTGTGGGCCTAAACAGGTAGCTAAGCTATCAGGCAATGATTGGGTTTCACCAATAGAGGATCAGTTACAAGTTGGTCTCTCTCACGTTTTTGATTATATTCGGTCAGAGACATACAAATTGTAAGTTTCAAAATATTGAGATATATTTGTACTGTGAACTGTCCATCATTTTTGTGTTTATTGTGTTTGTAAGAATTTTCTTTCTGTAAAATTTTTTGCCAAGACACGCTACTTTATTGTACAATTATACTAAAAATGGCTTTAAAAAAAACAAGAACATTCCTAACTTTGTTATTTTTTCTGGGGGCTGATCTATGCACAAATATACACAGATTTAAGTAATTATGTGTGAAAATTATATTTGAAATAATCTCAGCAATTGAAATTTAAATAATCCCGTTTCTTCCAGACAAGCTCGCTCGACGAAACGTTAGGATTATTTAAATTTCAATTGCTGAGATTATTTCAAACATAATTCTCACATATAATGACTTCTCTATACTCGGCACCCAATTTTTATCAAACTATTCGTTCTAATATTGACTAATATTCGTATATATTTAAGTAACGTATAGTTTGTCATTAATTACATATCTACTATTTTTAGGATTTCTAGTACTCAGCCACTTTTGTTTACCAACAAATACTCCATAATCTCATTCTCTACCAGTTACCTTCAACCATCTAGTATCCAAATTATACAATTGTTCAACGGTTATATCTACGTGTTTTGTCGCTAGATTTTAATGCATCAGTAAAGTATTAAAATACATTTAACACATAAGTCATGAGATGGGACAAGTTAGTGGATTGCGATAATCTTTACAACTATTGTAGAATTTCTGTTAGGGTTTTTAGAGATTCTTCAATTTTACAGTTAATATCACAGAAAGATTTTATTTAAAAAAACACTGAGAACGGGAAGGTACTGGACAGCTGTTTAATCGTCAGGATTGCACATTCATAGTCCTGCTACCAGGGATTGAACCCAGGATCTCGAGTCTAGCTCGAACGTCTAACCTCTATACTACTAAGCCGGCATTCTACGATTTACATTTTTAACTTTAACTGTAGAATTACTCAGTCATCCACACGCACTCGAAAACAAGCTTAGAATTAACCTCAGTAAGATTTTACTTCGGGGTAGTACTTTTCTAAGAATAATATCCACAGACTGGTTACATACATAACGTTTTTGTTTATATGTACAATTAACAGAAAACTTTAATCAAAAGTTTTCATGTTACCATATAATGAGTGTACATTGATGGACCAGCTAGTTTCCGTATTCTACTCTATACTTTAGTACACACTGGCCACCATCTGAGTTACTCATCAATCTATATACGAGTTATTTTTTAGAATTTTTATTTTAGACAGTCGGTAAAAGAATCGTTTAATACTAACTTGTTAAAATAGTTCTCACACTACTATCAGTACCAGCAAAGGTTTTCATCAGAGTGTTGCCGAACCGAATAAAAGACTCAGTAGATGCTCAGCTTCGAGATTAACAGTCCGAATCTCGTAAGGATTTGTCGTGTACAGACCGAATTGCGACACTACAGATGATCGTTGAGAAATCAATTGGATGGAACTCGTCAATATAGATAAACTTTGACTATGAGAAAGCATTTGATAATGTGGACAGAAGGACCTTATGGAAACTTCTTCGACACTGGTGTACCTGAGAAAATCATCAACATCGTCCGGAATTCATACGACGGGCTACGCTGCAAAGTGGTGCATGGAGGACAGTTGCATTCCAAGTGAAGACCGGAGTCAGACAAGGCTGCTTACTCTCCCCCTTTCTCTTTCTTGCAGTGGTTGGCTGTATTATGAAGACCTCGACATCTGAGGGTAAGCACGGTATACAATGGAAATTTTGGATACAACTGGACGAGTTGGACTTGACAGATGTCTCATCTCTTCTATTCCATACACACAAACATATGCAGGTCAAAACAGCCCTACCATTGCTGTTACCTTGACGTGGTGGTCAGGCTTGCCTATCATAAAGAACCAATCGAGCTATACTGGCTGGAACAATCATTCCTTAAAGTCCTACCATGCCAGACATGTCGGTTGAAGAGCAGTAAGACTAAGAGCAGCAAACCAAAGGTCCGAGGACGAAGTCGTACTGCTGACTACACATAGGTGTGACGGCAGTTAGGTGTTTCCTTCAGACAGACAGCATGACAGCAATGCTGCTTTCCTACAAGGAAGGGTGGGGTTGGAAAAGGTCGGCTCTAAAAATATACACCTCGCTTTATCTCACGGATTTCCATTTGCGGCGGTAAGGTCCCACCAAGTACGGAGCTAACACGAAAATTACTCACAAAAAGGCTGTGTGACCGGCCTCAAGCAGTTGTCCCTTGGGTGCTGCAGTCACGCTCTGAGGTCACTAAGACCACCTCTAACCGAATTTCCTTTGTGGTACCTGTAGAAGAACCGTTCTATGGTGTGGGTAACCGAGAAGTGAAAACCACCCTCATACCTTTAGCAGCTCTCAAGATCACTATTCATAATCAACCTTCCTCTTCAATTCCTATTATTCCTCCTACCTCGACTCCCAACTCTACACTTCCTCTCTTGGCTTCCTCCTCAGGTGTGACCATGACCAACAATTCTAGTGCGCGAAATACTGTCCCAGGTCTACTGAAATGTCGCTGAAAACTACACGTTGGATCCCTCAATGTGCGCACCTTATGTTTCTTCTCTCAGTCTAGACCTTTGGAACGATAGGCGGAACACTAAGGAGCGGTTCAGCTGGCTTTCAGTTACTCTACAACTACCCACCATTCCCAAACAGCCTGAATGGAACATTGAACTAATTCTTTCTCTCTGTATTATATCCTTATATGCAATCTTTTTTCTATGTATTACTACGATTAATGTAGCTAATTCTATGAATTTGGTGTTCATCTTGTGCTAACGAGGTATGGCAACTTGGACCAATGTGTATATGTGCCTGGTCCTATATTGTAGCTGACCGACGGGTCAAGACATTGTAGTAATTTAAAGTCTGAAAATTATGTGGGAATCTGTTTGATGTTTTGTGTTGGATACCCACGTTTAGTCAACAAGAAGCCGTCAACCCACTTTATTTTTGTCTAATCAATCAATCATAAGCAAGTTGGAACCTGGCACATGTGTACATTGGCTCCCGTTACCACACCCAATCAACATTAATAGGTAAAATTCTCAGGACGAATTTCACAGTAGTAAAGTGTTGACAGAATTAGTGGTATTAAAAAATATAGATAATATGGTTCGAGAAGATTAATTTCGCCATATAAAAATATAAGATAATTTTTGAACACACAATCTAGAAGAAAGGAGGTCAAGTGCATCTGGACCTAATAAGATAGTCTTCACCTACAAAAACTGCTAAGTTCAATAGACCATGTTTGTCACTACTTGTGAGAGACTTATACAGTCAATCTTAAAGAAATTCAAACTTTGTATGTGTTATAGCTTACAGGTAAGATTCGTATTTCATTAATTCTTTGATAAAATTATCAGTTAAATATAACTCTTATCAACATCAAATCAATTACATTTATGTATATGTATATATCTTAACTAGCTTATACCAACGACACATAGCAGCTGATAATAAACCAAGACCAATTGCTGATAAATCCAAAAAAATCAGTCGCAAAGTTCAGTGAAGCTTAATCTTGTTTGGCACCTAGAACCAACTGGTAATACTTTCTTTGGGTTTAAATATGCTAATCGATTAGCTTTTTTTTCCGTGCAAAATGTTCTAATAATGTTTTTAACAAATTCAAATCAAGACCACATAATTTGTTTAAACAAGTGCTTTTTCCTATCATTATTTAATTACTTTTTCATGAATACATTTGTTTGAAATATAAAGTCAACTCAACTTTTTTTATAACAAGGTTATTAAGCCTCTTTTAAACATGTTCTATTTATTGTAGTTTAATGTCTCTTTATAACAGTTCTTATTTTTTGTTTAACAAGTTAATCATTTTTTTGTGTATGGCGAATATTTCTTTGTTCTAATTATTTCGCAAAATTCAATGTTTTGTTGTCTTTATCCAGTTGCTTTTTAATTCTCTTCATTATTTTGTGCCTGATATTCATTATAGTTATATTTGGGTTTTCGTTCTATAAAATTTAATACAATATTTACAGTGGAACAAAGTTACCTTTTTTTAAAAAGTCTTCCAATGGTAAGGGATCAACAACTGCCCAATCTTCGAGGACACTCTAAAGTAAAACAATAATTTTTGTATATTGAAATAAAATTTCGTTTTACTGGTAGCGACGAACGACTAACTCAAAACTTAACCGAAAATCTTAAGACAACACGAAACGTGACATTGTTGTCCAACGTTCTGAAAAGGATCACCACTAGGAAAAATAGCTGGCTGATCAATGACTCTAGAATAGCTTAGAGAAATACAATAAGGAATAAATGATGGAATACTAAACTAATCAACACTGTGCATCAAAATCTGTTTTTAATACAGATGAATAAAAAACTGGTACTTTACCTTTTTCTACTAAACTTGGAATTAGAAAATGAACTCCCTGGGTAATTATATATTTTTAACACGACTATTTCTGTTTGGTTCATTCTATTAGACTGTAGGATCCTTGTTAGTTCTAATTTAGCTTATTGCAGACGGTATAAAATAAAATATAAAACTCTCAAATCTTTGATCCCTCATCTGTTGTAGCTAAACTTCACTTTTATAAAAAATTGAATTTCGTTAATATCTGGTACAAATTATTTGGTTAATTAAATTATCGAAAGTGGATAAACCATAGTGAAAGTTTGTAAATATACAAAGCAAGCTGAGTGGAAAAATATTTATCAGATAGTCATTTTGTACATTTTACTTCATTTTGTCTACTTCTGGACATTAACTCCGACTGGATACAATTTATTTGAATTCACGAAAAATTGAAGAGAAGATTTACATTTCGAATTAAACATTAAGTACCTTTTCCTAATTGTTGTCAAATAAGTCGCATGGTAAATTTCACATTTAACTAAATTCATTTTCACCGAGATTTTTTTATTCAGAAGTGACCACATATTCATTATCAGGAAGTTTAAAATAAATTAAAGCTTAAATGTGGTTTTACGTTGCTCGTATCTAAATTTGAAAATTAACTAAATTCTAATGGGAAATAGTCCAAATGTTTCCGATCTTACATGTATGAATTTAATTTTAGTGGTAAACTGGGGAAGAATAATCCTGAATATGTGCTGATAAAATGTATTCATGTTCGGATATTCAGGAAAATATCCCAGAAATTATCCTATTAAGTCTAATGCTATTCTTGAACTTGGACATGGTATGATTTTCTTATTGGTCAGTACTTGTTTCACGTGTTATTTTCCTACTGGTCAATATTGTATAATGTTATTTTCTATTTTATGGTACGTTGTGGTCTGCTTGACTTGTATATAAACAAAGTATGTTTGAAATATAATGATTCATATATCCGAGGCTGAGACTTGCGATCTGGACTCAACTGCTGGGCTAGACAGGGAAGCGTGGTCAATCAGAATCCTAGGTCGTTCTACGTGTTTGCGCGTCTTTGGTCCGATCGATAATTCACTCCCCTCTAATCTGCTGCCGTCACAGTTATAGCAATTCACATCCTATGTTTCATTGCTAATTTGGAAGGTTAAAGGGGAAATTATCGCCGTGATAACGCTAATACTTACTCGAATGGATGTTTTCAACTGAGTTTCAACTTCGGGCGTAAGAGGCATATCTTCCACAATCCACCAATATCCATAGGAGCCGCACATAACAGGGAACGAAAATGCGGTCCCTTCTGGTACGCCATACCAGCCTGAAAGCAAACAAACAGCTATTTAATAATGGACACAGCTCTATAAATACGTAAGAAATTAGTTGTAATATCTACGTCAAAACGGACTGTTCAGTGTAGTTTGGAAGTTTCTAGGCATAGCTAGAGGATCTTGATATACTGTTTAACAATTAGCATTACGGTAATTGGACAGCGTCTTTCTGTTATATCTGGATTTTATTTTTGAGATATGAGCGTTCTGAAAATTCGATCATGTTATATTGATCATTTTTTGAGGTTTAGTACACTAAAGGTCTTACAGACTGATTTTCCTCTATATCATGTCATTTCTATTAACTTATTTACATTTAGAGTCGTTTCCCTTTTACTTGTACGTATAAATCAAAGCTTCGCCCCAAGTTTTTAGTTTACTAACATGGGATAAATTTGCGGGACAAGTCTGTATTTGTACATACTGTATATGATACTAGATAATGACGATTAAATAAATCATCCTAATTTTGTTGTCTGCCTTTATACTTTGATTAACCTTGAAACTATACATCTGGTTGACTGAAAAGGTTCTGTGGATTGCATTGTTGCCTGTCTGATTGTTTGGGTTACTAGTTATCTGAATTCATTTTTAATGGTACCCTTGTTCTCATTACTTTAGCGAGTATGTAATCTTGATAAAATTTCAACGGCGATTATTAATTAGAATCCGTCAGTATAAATTGTACACAAGTATTTTCAAAAATACGGTCATCATGGTTGTTTCAACGCTTTTGAAATAATTTTGAAATGCTCACTTCTACTTGTAGACATGAAGCTTCACAATCAAACCATCCTAATCGGAGAATCCAAGACCGTCAATATCATTCATCTGAGCAATAAATATCCTCCATCACCTCACTATCCATAACAGCCTAATATGACAGTAATTTGCTGTATATTTAACATACTTAGTGTAGGGCATCCGTAGTCTGATAACACTTTTCATCAGTAGAGATTAACTGCACCTGGTGACTTATCCTTATGCTTAAAGTTGTGATATGACGAGTAATAACTTGATAAGTTACAATGTGAATCAAAGAACGCTGATAAATAGCGTAAAATTCCACAAAGTTATGTCGCTTCAAACTGTTATACTCAAATATCATAACGGAATAAACCAGAATAGATTAATGAATAGTGATGACATATTCACAATAAAGAATGTCTGTGGAACTATGATATGTCCGAAACCGTGTCAAATACTAATTCCTCGTATTGAAAACCCTATCCAGAAAGTTGTAGCCTTTCTTGTATAACCTAAACTAAGACTCAAGGGCTTCGTGGACTGATGCTTTGATCTATACCATAATGTTTTAGCGACTTGATTCTGTTTCATCAAATATCTGGTCAAAGATATCTATGGAAGGATACCTTTAGCACGCTTATGGTTTTCGTACTTAGTGTCCCAGTTGTACAGTTCAGACTGCTAGAATATGTTTATCTTCTGATGGATAGTTAAATATCACGTCATTATCATAAGTTGTTAGGCTATCACTGCTATTATAATCGTCCTGAAATTTTGTCGGGAACCACCTATTCGGGGTCGCTGTAATCCCGCAAACAATGTTACCACGAAAGTAAAACCCAGCAGTCACAGTGATGTATTAGTTTTTGATATCAACTAGCAGGTTTTGTATCAAAAATAATATACAGCCTTGCACATGATTACGTTTCCAGTTCTTAAAGGTCACTCATAAATATACAAGAATAAGTAATCAAATGGTTTTTTCTGTCTATATGTAGTGACTAGTAATTTGAATTTAGTTTGCTTGCCTATATGGTGTGATACATTCAGTAAAATATTCCAAGCTTTCGTTCCCAAACATGGAGTTTGTTAGACAGCCTACTAAGAGAATGAGATAATCGGTTGGTTCTTACTATTCATATTTCATTGTCTTTATGTATAATTCAATTTGACTAATATCAGAATGTTATGGTCATTAAATAATAGACCAATTTAAGTTGAGAAAGAGCTAGTTATTAAAAGTCAAAAAGAGGGTTTTCTATTTACCTTTTGATATCATAACAAGTGAAGTAATTTGGTTAGGTTGGCTTTGGTTACTGTTCCAGCATTCTTTTAAGCACTCAGCCATAGCATTTTCGTAGAGTAGTCCTATATACTCAGATTTTCTAGTACTGTTTTCTTTCTGTAGTTCATTCAGCAGTTCTTTGTGTAACCACTGTGGGTTCTCAGCTACACTCAAGGTTGGAAGCCGAATGTGGCTTCCGCCGACGACACTCGCATCAAAGTGTCTTCTGCAAGATACACAAGAACGAGATAAATCTAAAAATACTGAACTCCCCAAGTTCCCCCAAATTACGACATCAGTGAGATCATATGTGTGGACTTTCAGGTGTCTAGCCACAGCAGCTTTTACTTTCAATTCAAGTGGCTTTACTAGACCAACTATTTGTTCTGGCGGTATCTTCCCTTTCGTTCTTTTGTGAAGTGTTGTCACGTCAAAACATATAGGCGTGGTCATTTCCATGAGAAATGTGTCTGCTACTATGTTTCCAGCTAATAGGACTCTGACAGATTTCGGACATTTTTCTTTCATTTTTTGTCCAAGTTTGTCAAAATATAAAAAGCGTCGTATTAACCACTCATTTCTTGGTTCCCACTCATCTTGTTTCATGTTGTCTGAAAAACTAGGACCTTTTCTTGGGATAACATCTAGAATGATGACTTGCTTTGCGTGCGTGAGACATTCATCAACATCGTCACTAATGAGTACTCTACTAAGTTTAGGAAGAGCTGCTTCCTCGAGCACTTCTCTAAGTTCGAACAGTTTACTTTTATTTTTGACTTCGTCATTTAAGTACAACTCTATCATCTCATCACCGAAAACCTTCCCATTTAATATACTAGCCAGAAAATCACTAGTACCAAGTCCAGCTGCACCAATAACCACCACATTTGATGGGAATGGTGTGCTAATGATTTTAATTTATTGCTCTTGATCTTCTTGAATCTTATAATTCATGTTGTCCTTCATGATATTCAACATGTCGTCCGTACGTATTGAGATTTGTTCACCGTAATAAGCAGCAACTAACTCTTGAAATTCGTTCGCACCTCCAATTAAAATTCCTTTTCCTCCTTGATCCACTAATTCTCTCCATACAACAGGTGACTCTTCCACAAACCAACCGTGTTTTTCTGTAATCCATCTCGTGAATTCCTTGTTTTTGGTGAATATATATGAGATAATTCACTTACTTTCCAATCTTGAGGCTGTTTAACTATTTTTGTGACTCTAAAATTGGGTAGATTTAGTGACAGTTTGTCCGCCAAAAGTTCGATTCGTGCGTAAAACGGACAGTCACATTTTCCTGTAAATACGATTAAATGAAATAGAATGTTCTCTTCAAATAGAAATCACAGCCATCTTGGCTATTTATCACAATATTTTATATTGTTTAGTCAAAGTTCATCAGGCTAAATTGGTTTGAATGAATACTAACTGCATTTACTGCTACAGTATTATTTAAAAACCACAAATTATTGCTATCTTAAATATTGAAAAACTCAAGTGGCAACACTGATCGTTAAGATATTTTGGCCTTCATCTATCCTTTAAGAAAATGAGAGAAGATTGTGTAAAGATTCATGCACTCAATACTTGGAGGACAGAAGAAATAGTTATAGTATAAATATAGTACAAGACTTTCATAATTGAAATGGGTTTCATTTAATAACTATCAGAAATGTCTATAAAATATGATGTTAGATAATTGCTATTTGGATAGATGCTTGCAAGGATCTTTGGGTGGTCTTGTACATTTGGTACTGAAACTTCCTTACTGTGACGTATTGAACAAACCTATGATCATTATGCCACACGTAGGGCAAGTTTTCACTTGATAATCGTGGTTTTTGCCGTCGTTACATTTCAGTAAAACTAACTTATCATAACTGACATCTATTTCTTCATGAAAAGTTTTGATGTATCCCATTTAAAACACTTGATATTAAAGGTCACTTTCAGTTCGTGAAGGATAGGAGACTGGATAGACTATGTTATTCCTATAACAAGTAAGATGTTTCTTCTAATGAAAAGTATGCATAAATTGATATGATCTGAATACAATGATCTGTATAAGAACAGACGGCACAAACATTAAAGGCGAGACAATTATCTTCCTGAGAGGTTATTTACACTATTAACTTGCATGAGTCCTAAAGTAAGGTATAATTTCAGATTATTTATTTCAGAAATCTGAATTACGAGGCACGCGCTCTCAATAAAGTCTCAGTTTCTATACAGCTTACCTTTAAACACAAACCCAATCTTAAAATCTTATTACATAAGTGTAGAGAATTTTGTGGCACCCACAATCCTTCACACTCCTCATTCTGCTCCTGTAAGGTTAAGTACTTGAAGTTAGTTAATAATAACCGAGCCATCTTTTGATAATCGATGGTGGGCAATATAAGGAAAAAACGCTAATAAACTGAACGGCGAGACTAAAATTTGTGGACGAACCAATCAGATTTACAACAAAAGATTTTGGCGAGAAATCCTTTATCCATTTGACTAAATAGGGTCTTGGCATTTTAGCTGGAATCATTTCGTGATGGAAACCCCAAATATAATTACCATCCCTAACCATCAACTGTAAATCACAATCCTTGTTCTTCACACTGGTTTAAAACCTTCATTTAGCTCTAGTCATTGGGTGGACATTCTCAAAGAGCCTTTAGCGTCGCTCAAAGGTCGACCAAAGATTATTGTCTCACCAAAATTGTCATTAGAACAGGAAACTTTGATAGAACTAAGTCGTTAAACAAATGACTTTAACTCCTGAAACTATTTACTTCTTCCTTTCTCCAGGATTTGTAAGTTTAAATCAACTAAACAAACTGCTGAAGGAAGATGCCCTGTCTTTGATGGCGTTTTTCATCGTCGCAACTGATCATTTTCATACACCGAAGATTAGCACAATTTCTCTTATTAAATTTAATAACAGTGTATTTTTTAAAAAAATACACTTGATTTGTGCTTATAAAATTGACGTACCAAAGCTATATCACGCAATGTAGGTATAACAAAGCAACTTAACATATTCTGTTGCTGATAAATATTTTAAGTTACTAGTGGTAGCAAATGGTGGTTTAGGTCTTCTCACCTGCTATAACGAAAAGGGCCATTTCACATTTTTGCGTGCTTAGGTTATTACTATGATTCAAACTCGTACGTTATTTCATGAGTTTCCACGTCAGTTACGACTGTTCACTGGTACAATTACTGTAAAGATGTCACAAGTTTTTCGTGCTTAACAAAGCTATCGTCAGCAACACCTGTACAATTGAAAGATCATAAATACAGCGAAATCGGAAGTCAGGAATGAATAAGTTCGACGATGTATTAGGAAGACAGTCGGTATACCGAGAAGCGTGTGATCTAAGTTGGCTACTCCTCGTGACGGCTATGTAGAACTGCGTACACAATGGTGATCTTGTTCAGGTATGCGACCGAGAACCTTCAGCTATGGTGTGTTTAGTAAAACTAAGGAGGTCAGTATCAGTATTGACGACTTACAGGACTATTTAATTTTGGGATTTATTTCCCTCTGTAACTGAGAAGTAAGAATAAATTTTTAATAATTTCTGGGTAGTAATGTGTTGGGATGGTATATCCCCAAAACTCATATTTGTAATTTCATCATATCGATTAACTTGTCGGTTAAATATTTGAATGGAAGTCAAATGATGAACTTAACGATTAAATATTTGAATGACTGTCGATTGATGAGCTTAATGAGTCATGTTTAAAATAACATTTCAATATGACAATATCGATTATATATATATATATATATATATATATATATATACAACTGGCAATGGGAATGATATTCGAACCCACGCGGGGAAACCTCAATGTTATGACCTTGAATCACTCTCACCCCCGTTGATACTTGTTATGATTTGACCTTGATCTGTCTAGTCTAGATTATGACCTTGACGCGATAGGGTGAGTGGCTTAACCTTGAGTCTATCTCGCATGAGTTCGAGGTGGGGTAGAGAGACAACTATTCTAGAACCTGATTGGTTGGCAAGCGCGCAAGTGAGAGAAGACAAGACAGTTGGAACACTGAATTCTGGATTCTCTGAATTCGGATTAGTGCAAGAATGTACATGAATAAATAAATGAATATCCTGACCACAACGTACGATAATTTGGAAAAACACAATTATGCCCAGAACTGGGAATTAGGGTAGAAAATACGGTGCAAAATATTATGTTTAAATTACAATGGTTTCGGAACAAAAAAGGGTAATGCAGTGAATGATACATAGAACGAAAGCTCATGTTATGTAGAATAAAATAGGAACAAAAATAAATATAATTGTTTTACTAGGTTTGAATCAAATGAAATAACGTCTCAAGAAAATAACTTTCGTAGTTGTCTGGGTATAATGTTTCGACTTACAGGAATTATAGCAATAACTAAGAGTCCCAGAAATAACGCAATTGAATTAAGAAGACACAGGCACAACCGAATGTACTGTATTTGGAATTCGAAATCGTACAATCAACCAGTACAATAGTATCATTAGTTCGTTCAAACACCACATCCGCCACAGCTTAAATTGGAGTCTAGGTGTTTGTAATCAATCGTACGTCTTCTTCTCAAATTCATCCTGGGTCTGTCTGCCATTATATTCGAAAAGGATTCTGTATTATCTAGAATTTGCTCATCAACATTAGAATTAACAACGGAAATTGGAACAGACTCACCTGGTTCCTGAAATTGTATTTGATCAACATGTCGACTGTGTGTACTTAAGTCATTGATGTCTAGTATTCGCACCATCGATTTTCCGACATTCTTCAGAACAATACCCGTAGATGGTCGAAGATCATTTCCCCGATAGTATGTAACTTCTGCAGACTCCAAACATCTCATATTCGACTGAAGAATTCTTCCTTTCAATAGCTTCGCTGGAGTCTCCTTCGTCACCGAATGTCTGGCATTTCTATATTGCAATAGAAAGGTATCTACTCCCCTCTCCAGCTCACTAAATGTTGAGGCGGCTATAGAATCAATAGCAGTCTTTAATGTCCTGACAAAATTCTCTGCCTGACCATTAGAACACGGATGTCTGGGAGCAGTAAACAGATGTTTGCACCCTATACCGTTCAACCAGTTAGTGACCGCATCTGCAGCAAAGTGAGAACCATTGTCAGTCACTAACACCATAGGAACCCCTTCTCGACTAAACGCCTTTCTTAATGCTTGGATTGTGAAGTCAGAATTAGGTGAAGTTGTAAAAAAAACTTCAGGCCATTTTGAAAAAGAATCAATAACTACTAGTGCATAGTATTTACCAAGAAACGGACCACAATAGTCAGCATGAATTCTCTGCCAGGCCTCAGACGATACTGGCCATGGCGTCCACTTCGAAGGATGACTTTTCAACTGATGACATTTCTCACAGTTGTTTGCTGTACGACATATATCTGCATTTATCTCTGGCCACCAACATGTGAGCCTTGCCAAGGACTTCATTTTCTCAACACCTAAATGACCACTACGAAGATCTTCAAGAACAGATTTACGCAATGAAGGAGGAATGACAACACGATCATTTAAACACAGAATACCATCAGGAGTAGTAGATAGTTCATCCTTCTTTGAAAAATAGATAGGAAATCTACGTTTCAAATTAGCAGTTCAGCCTTTTCGTATAGCACTGAGTATACATCCAAAATATCTGCGAGTTTCTCTAATGAGATCTGAACGTCTCACTGGTAAAGGTTGCACTAACAAACAGTCCGAAGTATTAATAGGTCGATCTTGTAATGACTGTCGAGAAATGTAGTCA